TACTAACTGTTTCTGAAAATCCTCCAGTGCAACGAGCTCTTAGCTTGAGAGACTTGATGCAAAGGTCAATAATTCCACCCATGCTAATGGTCTGCTGGGATTATTGTCACCTGTCACAAGCTCTGGCAATGTGCGTGAACCTGAAGCTTTAGCCACACGGCAAGTGACATTTCTAAATTATGAAAGGCTGAGTTGGGAATACCCCAGCTAAGGCAGTTTACATCTTTATTTCCACTAGCAACATGGGTTTGGGGCTGCTATTTCAGGTGACCAGTGCTGAAGCCAATTCAGTACTGGTGCTGCAGGGCAGGGGGACAGCAGTTGCACCAGTCTGTCGGCACTGTCTTGGTGTTTGTATCTCGAGCTGTCATAGAAACAAACCCTGGGAACAGCCTCCTCCTCCATCGCAGCCTCTCACCAGAACATCACGGGACAGTCAGTGACAAACTTGTGCTCCGGCCCCAGGCTGGGGACAGATGCACAGCGCTGTGGTGTCTAAAATGCAGGTTCTGCTTCATACCCATCTGGAGCGAGAGGCTTCTCTTTGACAGCACAGCCCACACGTGTCCCCTCCTCAGCCAGGATGGGGAGCGGGTGTTTTCCCCCAGGAGAGGGGGATTCCGCCATTCCTGGTAAGCCCCTGAAAATCCCCACTGGGCACAGGGAAACCCGAGACTCCCACCTGGCTTGGCCTCAGCCTGCCAGCTTTCCTTTTCTGAACTCTTTAAAATAACTCCTGCCTCCCTGAACGGCCAGAAGTGTTTGCCCAGTCGCAGGGCCTGAGGAGGTGGATGGGAAGGAAGGGGGTGAGGGGACAGCAGGGCTGGGAAAGGGCATCAACGTGAACAGCTTGAGCAGGGAAACACTGCCCTGCAGCCTGCCAACTCTCTTTAAAGGAGTAAAGTGCTGAAGATTGTCCGTGCCCTGTTCCCTACTGCCTCTGTCCCCCGGTGCCAGGATCTGCAGCGCTGCTGGGCCATGGAGGAGCAGGCGCAGGAGGAGGTGCCGGCAGCCCAGCGCACAGGTCAGTCCTCGGGCTTGTGGCTTTGGAGCCGAGAGATCCTTCCCAGGCCAGAGAAGGCCATGGGGACCTGCCCGGCCGTTCCTCTGGGACGACGGCTGTCCTCAGCTGCTCTTTCAGTCTAAGAGCACTTAGAGATGTTGGTAACGCTTCTTGGCGATGGTCCCCACAGGAGGCCACCACCCCGTGCGGGAAGGAGAGGTGTTCAGCACGCGATACCAAGCTCTGCGCAAGCTGGGCTGCGGCACCTTTGCCACTGTTTGGTTGTGCCAGGACGTGAGGTGAGGGGCTGGCCACCTTTCAGGGAGGGGGGAAGGGGTGGCTGACCTCCTGGGCAGGACTAGCCCCTCTCGCAGGAGTAGCAGAGGGCAGCTGCCTGCCCCGGAGCACATCGGCATCCCTCCTGGGCACAGGGCAAACCTGGCAGCCAGCTTGGTGGGGTGCAACAAGCAGAGCTGCTCCTCGGAAACCAAAAGAACATACATGAGGGGGGATCAGCCCTTGCTCTGCAATTGGCTTTTCTCATTTAGACCTGGTGGTATCAGTGCTCTGGCTTTTTCTCTCCCTTTGCGAGGCTGCTTGCAGGAGGGCAACCTCCCCAGTGAGCCCGGGACTGGGTGACTGGGAGAAGGGGAGGTGCTGCTGGTGGTTAGGGTCACTCTGGCATGCGCAGGCTGGCAGCTGTGGTTTGTTTCTCAGGAGGAAGAAACACGTAGCTGTGAAGGTCCTGAAAAGCAGGGAAGGCTTTGCTGAGGCTGCCCAGGACGAGGTCGCTCTCCTCCGCTGCGTATGTATGTTCTGGGGGCTCTCTGCTTTCTCCACAGGGATTGTCACCGAGTTCACATCTGAGGATCAGCCTCCTCATCTCTTCTCCTTCCAGGGCTCAGTCTGAGGAGTGACATGGGGAACAGGAAAAAAACTCAGAAAGTTAGGGGATTCATAGAAATCACCCCATGGCTCAGTGCTGGCTTCTGAAACAGGCACAATCTCCTTCTGTCATACTGGGATATGCTGGCTGTGTCCCATTTGCCCCATCAGCCCATTTCTTTCAGCTGAGACCAAAATCCAGTAAACAGGAGGAACCTGCAGAAGGGTAAGGTAGACAATCAACAGAAAAAGGTGTCAGGGTTCTCAAGCGGGAGATGGGAGCGTGTCGACTGTATTGGTGTCGCTCTCATCTCAGAGGGCATTGCCCTATCACAACAGTGATGTAAAAAAAGTGATATTTTAGTGATGTAAAAGGAAGTATCTGGGAAGAAAAAAAAGCAGCATGTAGCAAAAAATATAAACCTCTGAAGTCAGAAAACTTCCTCCTGCCTTTGCTAATGGATGCAGTAATTAGGCACTTCTATCTGGGTCTCAGCTGGTTGCCTTAGAAAGTGGCTTGACCTGCTAGTTCTAGAAAGCTTGTGATCACAATTCTTCGAGTTTGCCTGAATACAAAGTTACATCAGCTTTAGATGAGTAAAGGCCATTAGGTTTTGCATTTCAAATTGCTCTGAGGCTTCTCTCCTACAGGCTTGAGAAAGGTTTAGCTCACACCTGCAAATCCATGGGCCCTATCCAAAGGGCCATGAGCCAGCCTCAGTGATGCAAGAGGAAGTACCAAGTGGCACTAATTTAATGCAATCAGAGGGCTGCTTTTCCACACATCAGCACAATCCTGCATAGAGACTGAGCCTTACCCTTGATTTATTACTAATTCTCTCTGAAAGACACGCCTTCCCATTCAGCACAATACCGACAGCGCAATCCAGCTGGTTCCTAGGGCTGTTCCCACCAGCGTGGGGTGGTTGGTGGTGGCAGTTGTAAGAAGAGGAGGTGACCTGGTCTCCCCTGCTTCCCCGGCTGCTCACCACTGTTGTGCCGGCATGAACCTCCTGGCACTGGTGCAGGTGGCTGCAGCATCTGCACAACGTGCCAAACCAAAATCCTAACGGTTATGGCTGTAGAGGGAAAAAAAAAAACCCAACACCTGAATTGCTGTAGCAAGGTCAGTGCTCTGCAAGAGCAAATTCCTGAAGTACCTTGCGTGGCAAGTGTCCAGCACTGGTGCAAGAGCTGGGGGTGCTGAAGCACCATGCTTGGGCAGAGCACGCGTCAACCAGCCCAGCACCCTGGGCTAGCAGCAGATATCCAGATGGGTGTAAGGACAAGCCAAGCACAGAGTGCTGCTCCCACGTGAAAGCTCCCCTGGCCTGCAGCAGTTTGCAGCTGGAGATTTCTTGTGCCAAGAGGGATATCTGTGTGGACAGTAATTCTCAGTGGATTTACCTTCACAAGACCTGCCCTGCTTTCATGTGAGCCCATGTGCTGCATGAAGAACCACCTCCTCTGCTTTGCTTTTGTACCTCCCAAGTGGTAGGTTTGATGGCCTTTGGGTCTTGTATGAGAGATTCGTGTTCATCCCCTCCACCACCACTGTTAGAAACTTTTCTAACACTTTTTCTAACACTGTCATCTTCTAGAACTCTCCAGGACTTGCCCATAGCCAAACCTTTTCCAGCCCAGAGAGACCTGGGTTCCTCCAGGCATGGAAGCTGCTCTCTACCATGGTGGGACAGGTAGCCTTCAAGTGGCCAGAGGAAACCTCTGCCTCTCTGCAATCCTTTGCGAGGAGTTGCTGAAGGGAAGGTGTAGGTTCTAAAAGGCGACGTCCCAGCCTGCTGCCCTCAGCTGGGGATGGACGGGGTCATCCTCGCTCTGAGGGCAAGGAGCAGAAGCTGCAGAAAGGCAAAGGAAATGAACAGCCATTGCTGCTGGGAGCAGGGAGCTGTGGTCTTGGGGGAATCCCCTTCCAGCACAGGCAGGAGGGATTTCTGAGTCTGCACGGAAGAGATTAAAGAGCAGGAAGTGTGCTAGGCACTATTAGTGGGATCGGCTTGAATTATTCGGACACTATGAGTGTGATGGTCCCACCTGGTCAGGAGCTAGACAACATACTCAGTCCTTGGTAACAGACTCTGCTTTGTGTGTTTGCAGCCTGGTTTTCCTGATGTTGTTCTCATGGGATTGGTCGTGAAGTGCTAAGAAGAGAAAGTCTATAGAATGGGAAAAAATGGGCGCAAGATGTCCTTGTCTAATTGCAGCCTTCTTGGAATCCTCCTCAGGTAAGCAGTATGAAGAAGAAGGACCAGGCAGGAGAAAACATCATCTGTTTGTTAGACGATTTCAGAATGATTGGAGAGAACGGCTTCCATATCCTTCTGCTGAGAGTGCTGCAGCTCTGGGTCAGCAAAGCCTGGCCTTAGCTTGGGGAGCCTCAGGATGGTGTGAAAACAAACGCTGTGCCCCCTGAGAAGGAGGAGCAGAGCAGTAGCTGGATTGGGGCACACGGCAGTGGCTGGAGGGGGAAGGTTGGGTAAGGAGGTATTTGGCTGCCCTAGTGAAGGGCAAAAGGCTGGTGGTAGCGTCTTTTCACTGTTAGTGAATCCCTGACTCTTTGCCACATGCGTGCTTGGTGTTTGAGGCGCTGGGTCCTTCCTTGCAATGTCTGATGGGTAATTACACAGCCCAGGGACTGCCTTTGCCTTTCGTGAAAAAATCTTTACAGCAGGTGAGAACTCAGCTGTAGGTGAGTGAGGGCACCAAGGGGATGGCTGGGGGAAATGCCACAGTCTTCATCCTGGGGTCACCTGCCACGAACTCCACGACTGCATCCGCAAAGAAAGGGACAACACAGAGTGAGTGCCCAAGGCATGAGTTTTTTTAAAGGAAAACAATAACTATTTCTTTTGGGCTTAAGGAGAGAAAATGCTAACTAAAATGGAGAGTGGGAAGCAATCCCATTGCCACTGATATGGGGCACTGTGTGTTCCTGCCCAAGCCTGCAGTCTCATTGGATTTGGGAAGGAGTCAGGGCCACCACCACGAAGAGTCAGCAGCCTGCAGACCTGCACCGGGTGGTTCAGGGGTGGCACCCGTGTTCCCATCGTCTCAGTAATCACTGCGTTCTCCAGCAGCTCTGCTGCTCGCAGGAGTAGGAAGTTGTGTGCAACTGGCAGGTCTGGCAGCTTTTTGCATGAGGTCTCCCTCAGCTCTGATGTCTTTCCAGGGCTTTCTAAATTGCTGGTTTGGTTAGCTGGTCCTCCACCCGTGTTGAGGTTTTCCTGTTCAGAGCCAACTCTTCCTTCGTCCCCTGTAAGGATGTGGTGTGCTGATCAAACAGATCATGAAAACTGAGTTTCTTATGTGTTGGCTGGGAGTAGCTAAGGAATGGGAAACCTGAGTTAAACAGTTAAAATTGTATTTTGCCTCTCATGCTGAGATTTATCAGAAGTCTGCACACGTGCCAAGATGAGGATTTGCTACTCTGATTCCTGTGCCTTTCTAGGGACACTAAGAAAGAAAACCACTTCCTCCTTCATCCTGTTTTCTGGAATAACCTCTTCTTCCTCAGAATAGTTTCTTTTTCCTCTAAATAAGTTCCACTACGACCTGAATGAGTTAAACAAAAATGGCATTAATCTCTGGGCCCCATTTCACACCCAAGCCTTTTGCTTGTTCCATTCCCTTATCTGCTTTAACTGTAAAATCTCAGAACCTTTTTTCCCCCCTTTAGATCAGCACTGGGACAGTATTTACTTCTGATTCATTCCAGTTTAGCTATTTAAATCTTTCCCCATGTTTCATAGTTACCATTTAAGGTTGGTATTTCCCTGGGGCTGCTGTTTGTCCCAGAATAGAATTTGATAATACAGAGAATATTCGCCAGCCCTTTATGTCTGACCAGGGTGTTTAAAAAACAAATGTAACTCTCCCAGCAGCGTTTTCGCTGTTATTGATTTCTGATAGCGATTGTTTCTCTCTGGTAAGTGTTGTTTATCTCTCCCCTGTGGCAAGGCAGGCTCTCCCT